TTTATCGAATCCTAGGTAAACTGGTGTTGCAGTAACCGGATTTAAATTTGAGATAATAGACTTACTGTTAAAGAGTTACAGAGTCTTTTCAAATTCCCAACACCAGGTTAAAGGTTTCTATTTAAGGGAGGGAGTCTGTGAGGTGGGTGCTGGAAACTCTTATAAAAAAGTTATTTAGGAGCCTTTAGAGGAGAATCTGTCATCAACTAGAAAAATAAAAGCTAGAAGTTCACTTCTGCCCTGTAGTTGGCAAATCACTTGACTATAGGAAAGTCTCTTTGATACAGTTGCTTCCTGGACATTGCAGTCTGATTCTGTCTGAGGCTCAGTTTCACAGACATTTCATGGGAGCCCTTTATGAGCCAGGCACTGTGCTAAACATGGGTGATACAAAATGCTCAAAACATGGTCACCATCCTCACAAAAAGATAATCACAACACACAGATGAGGGCAGTCAAAGAGATTGGGACGGGGATAAACACGAGAGCCTGAGAGGGGATCCTCACCGGGGTGTGGACGTGGGGAGATGGGGAGCTGCAGGTCAGGGTGAGTTGGAAGAAGTGATACCTAAGTTCAGACAAATGATCTTGAATTTTCATCTCATTAAGAACAAATACAGAGCAAAGATTATGTATCACATTATGAGCCAATACTAAAATTTTAAAGAGTTGTTTCCATCTTCTAATCTAATCAATGGAACAAATGTATACATATACATATTGAAGCTACAGGAGAGGCTTGCTTGTTATTCATCCAGGTTCTTCAAAGAAATAAAATTCTTGGAATTTGCTCAGACTCATGCCAAAGTGTATTGTTCGAAATCAGATTAAATTGACCATACTCTTATCTCCAAGGAAAGTGATAGATTGGACGCTTAAGGTATAATGCTAATACAGAAATAAGTCAGAAGCCTGGCGGTCTTCCTGTTCTTTTAGAAGTAATTCCCTAGAGTTTAATCATGGTTCACAGAGCAGATGAGTTTCATCTGCACATGCTTTTTCTGCACAATCAATGCAGACTACAGTTTGCTTATGAGGAAACTATCTCAGTTTCCACTTCCGTCCATTTGATTTGGCAACAATTCTAGACGTCCACAAAGGCTACATGATGACTATTGTTGCTGAATGCTTGACTTGCTTGGGAATAGGTTTTGCAATTTGTTTAACCTCCATGGTTGTCTTAAAAATTTATTCTATTAAAATTGTTTTTTAGAAGTCCTTGAAGTCCTCCCTGACGGGTTATGCATTCAGAAGAAATGATGTAGAGGTTTTTGTACAGTGATTCCATGTGTTAGGATGAGCTTCAATTCCCAGAACCATTGTGGTCAAGGAAACCTTTGATAATCACTTACTTAAATCCCTTCATTTTTTCACTGGGAAAAACAAAGGCCCAATGAAACCCAGTGGGCTGCTCACATCCAAGCAGCAAGTTAGTGCGGTGTCAGGACAGAGAGCCTTAGTCTTTTCTTCCAAGGTCAGAGTCCCTGACACCTTACACTTCAATGTGCATACAGATCTCTCGGGGATCTTGTGAAAATGCAGATTCTTATTCAGTAGTTCTGGCCTGGGGCCTAGGATTCTGCATTTCTACAAATAAGAACCCAGAAGATGCTGGTGCTCTTGGTCCCTGGACCCCATTCGGAAAAATAATAAAGCTTTACACTAAGAAAATGTGTCTGAGTCAAGATCAGTATTAGTGAAAGGACAGTTCTGGCTCAGGCACAGCCAATAATTCCAAAAAGTACTGGCATACCTTAAGATTAGGGTTTCTACACCAAATGTGCTGTATCACCTTCTGAGAGAGACAAACCACCATCCTATACTGCTAGTTTCCTTGGAAACATCATTTTAGAATTTTATATTAATTAGAAAATTGATTAAGATTTTTGGTCTCCTTCACTTAGTTGTTCTGTGCCCTCTGATCTTAAAACTGTCACCTCAATGCATAAATGATCATTTTCTAATAAATGTATATTTCTCTTCTTAAGGGACTCATGATTCCTTAGCTACTTATTGATTTCATGATCCTTAAATAAATGCATTCCTGACCTCATCTCAAATGGTTCTCTCTCTCTCCACACACACACAGACATAAAAACATACTGTATTCACATGTACCATGTTTTTTGTATGAAAAAAGTGGATTATTATGTGATCAATGTGAGAATTTTAATTTTTTCAAGAAGGCATACAGGTAAATGAAATAATCACTGTAGAATATATCTTTAATTTTAAAATTACTTGCTTAATTACAGGATATGTCTATATGGATCTATAGTCCTGGTTCAGAAACAAATACACAAATAAAAAACCCCAAATACTCTAAAAATATTATGTCAAATAAGTTATATGGAAAGTAGGTTTTCATGTATTTTTCTTAAATATCGGTGAAGACATTCTTATTGAAGCAAGTGGAGTGGCATCTTTATGAGAAGCGACCCAGCCTTGAAGGTTATAATTATTATTTCTGTATTTCTCTCAGTAGATCTTCCTCTATCCATGGCAGCAAAAAGATGCTAACCAAAAATAACCAATTAAGTTACATAAAAGTGTTTTTTGAAGAGTTCAAAAGGGCCACAGCAGTCAATACAAGATGTTTATTGTTAAGCTTATTGATATTATTGTTAATGATCATTTATACTTTAAATTTACACAGGTGTGCGTGGGGCTGAACACGTGGAACTACCAGGATTTTATATGCATGCCTTTCTTTATGAAGTAGGAGAATTAGATGCACCAAATCACATGATAACATTTTTTGGCATTGAATTTGGCTTTAAGGAAAATTTTTTAAATCACTCTTGTATCAGTAAAATCGAAGTTTTTTTCACATCTCTTCGATGCCAAAAGATAGTATTTGTTCATATTTACTCTGGAGGAGAAAGGGTTGTGTGTAAATCGTGAGATACGTGCTATCAGAACTAAATTATAGTAGGTGGTTTGCATGATGTTTCTGGTATAGGTGAACTATTAGTAATAATCATGGCTATGAGCGTTAAGCATCTGTAAGTATATTTGCTTCTTAGAATATTTTGATGGCCCCACTTATTATAGCATGACAGTGAGTAAAATGAATCTGTTCTGCAATGCTTTGGTTGCTGGAATACAACACACAAAGAGCAGTTGTGAAAGACTTCTGGACAATAGACCCACCACATGACCTTAAGAACTATAGTATATCAATTCTAGAATTTTGATACATGAATATATGTGAGTAAAATGTAGATTGTATGCAATTTCCAAATAGTTTTACCTTAAAAGCAAAATGACATCAAGTACTACTGTAGAACTGTTAATGTTTAAGTGTTAAAAATGTATTTGTCTTTGATTTGGGATAATTGAATGAAGTGAAATTCGTTCTAATAAAAATCTGCCTCTTTCTGTCTTTCAAAATTAAAAATGAGACCTAATTAGTAATATATTTTTTAAAATACAGGGAATGCAGTTTTTCTTGTCAGTAATCATTAGGGTGTGAAAGTGCTTGACTTCTAGCTAGTTTGATGGTTTAACTTATGACATAAAAATACCTGTGAGCCCTGGCCGGTTTGGCTCAGCGGTTGGAGTGTCGGCCTGCGGTACAGAGAGACCGGGGTTCGGTTCCCGCTAAAGGCACGTACCTCGGTTGCAGTTTGTCCCCGGCCCAGGTTGGTCGTGCGGGTGGCAGCCACTTGATGTGTCCCTTCACATCGATGTTTCTCTCTCTCTCTCTCTTCCTCTCTCTCCCTCCCGCTCTATCTGAACAAAAAATGGAAAAAATTCCTCGGGTGAGGATAAAAACAAAACAAAAAAAACACCTGTGAAATAAGTAAATAACTGAGTATTTATAAAAGTAAACACTCAGCATCATTTAAATAATCGAAGATTATGAATGGAACCAAATAAGCTCTTGCCAAAAGCAGTTTTTAAAAATTATTTTTCAATTACGTTTGACATGCAATATTATGTTAGTTTCAGGTGTAAGCATGGTGATGAGGTGTGTGTATATCTTACGAAGCGGTCACCCCGATTAACACAGGAAGAGTCCCTGATGAATGGCAAATAAGGAAATGCCCAAGGGAAGAAGGCTTAGCCGCTCAGGTCTTGCTGCCCCTATGCAACCTCATTCTGGTTAAATTTCAGTTAAGTTATGAAGTCTGAAGCAAATAACAACAAAAATGTATACCCACAGTTTTCATGGGACATCGTTTTCTAAATGTTCTCTTTGTTTTCCTTATGTTGTCAGCCACCAGGTCATTTGTAGGCATCTCCGTGTTCCGTAGGAGGAAAGTTGCCAGTCTGAAAGTTCAGTGTCTTTAGCGTTCTATTGCTTATCACATTTTTGCCCTCTAGGTGCCAACCTGGATTCACTGGAGCAAGATGTACTGAGAATGTGCCCATGAAAGTCCAAAACCAAGAAAGTATGTTAAAATAATCTGAAATTTGCTTCCTCCCCCAAACTACAGCAACAATCACTACCGCTTGGTGTTTTTACAGCTCAGTTGTAACTGATCCTTTTGTTCTAATTATGGTTTCACCACTCGGGGCGTAAACCATTTCCATCTGACCTTGTTCAACGGTCTCGCAACACAGGCCCAAAGGTCATAAATTTAAAAACATGACAGCCCACCAGGATGGCCAGTGATGCTGGCAACCACGGCAGGCAGGCCAACCAAAAAAAAAAAAAATGTTTTCCAAGTGCTTGACTAACTTATCAAATGGAAAACCAGGACGAAGGAAATGTCGGATTCAATTTTAAGTGGCTCCTTTTGAAAGAAAGCAGTCACTTAAAATCCCGGGATCTTTCTGTCATACAGACCTGAGGACTACATCTGGGCCACATGTCTAACCCACTGGGGGACACGCCAGAGTCTGAAAGCCATGATGAGGACAAAGACTCCGTTCCTGAGGGTGAACTCACCAAGTTCAGTCAAATGACACTGAAGGAGCTTCTTTCTAGCATATGTGCACCTCCTCTCTTTTTCTCTGTTTTTTCTACCATTGTTTTTTGTTTCTTCTCTCAGGTGCCCAAATGAGTTTACTGGTGATCGCTGCCAAAACTACGTAATGGCCAGCTTCTACAGTACGTCCACTCCCTTTCTGTCTCTGCCTGAATAGGAGCATGCTCAGTCGGTGCTGCTTTCTTGTTGCTGCATCTCCCCTCAGATTTCACCTAGAGCTAGATGTGTTTGACCAGGTCTAACATTGACTGCTCTGCCTGTCGCATGAGACCATTAACAAAAGCGATTGTATTACTTCCTCTGTTCATGACTAGTTGGCTCAGCATCTATAGGTGTGTGAGGCTCCCAATGTTTCTGAAATTGAAATTGAATAATGTGATACAAGATGGTAGTCAATATCAAGCAGTGCAATTATAATAAAGACATTTAAAAGTCTCACTGTTATTGATAAAATAAAAGCATTCCACTGAACAGTCCATGTTCTTTATAAAATGGCAACATCCTGAGAAAGCTGTTGCTAAGTTGTAACCAATATGCACTTGAAATGATGGTAAGTTAATTTTGGTTTCAGAATGTATTTATAACAAATAAACATAATCAAAAGAGTTCAGATGTTTTTCTTCATTAACCAGCAGTTTGCATTTAGGTATTAAAAAAAAATTAAGGCACTGAGTAGGAAAATTCAAAACAAACATTTCATAGAAATGAGATAGCCCAGCTTCTATTTATGTCGCTTAGAAGACAAATGATTCAGAACTAGTTTAAACAATCACTTATTTATGTTAACATTTCTTTGTTACTAATTTCAGTGGTAATGTTAGGGGATCATAGGTTTTTTTTAAATATTTATTATTTACTTTGAAATACAACAGTTCACCTCTATATATTTTTTAATGCAGAACTGAGAAATTTTTATGAGATTCTATGGCTTCATGAGGTCTTGAACATCATTCCTAAACAACTCAATTCATGTGACACATGGTGGCATATAGTTACATGTAGTAACTAAACTATGCCCTTGTCCTTCTGTTGGGAATGGGGACTATAGCTTTTAATTCTGGAGCTTCCAAAGCATTGTGTTTAACATGGATTCCGTAAAGCTATCCATGTAGGTCAAAGGTTGACAATTTTTTTCTGTAAAAGATCAGACAGAAAATACTTGAGGGTTTGCAAGTGATATCATCCCTGTCACAAGGACTATACTCTGCCATTGGGGCACAGAAGCAGCCATAGACAGTGCATAAACGGATGAGCATGGCTGTGTGCTATTAAAACTTCATTTAAAAAAGCAGGTGTTGGGCTGGATTTGCCCACTTCTGATTTAGATTGTCAGTTGCTCACCCTAAATAATATTACACATAGCTCATTGCAGTGTAAATTTATGTAACACACACAAAAAGTAATAGGAGCTGGTCATTTGGGGACCTTAAAGGAAGGGATTTACTCCTATTCATATGACGCAGAGAATAAGATTCTGTCCCTCGGATTTACAGTCACAAAATAATAAATTCATTCCCTATGCATTAGGGGGAGATTTGACCCATAATATTTCATCAATTATTTAGAGAAATGGTACTAATTATATATTTACATGGGCTACATATCAAAGATTATGTTTTGGCCATTTTCTTTTGTGAAAAATTGGTGAATTGATAGTACTAAATGTTCAAATGCAGTCTTCACCTTATTGACAAATCTTAAAATAATATGCATTCAGTGAACAGAATTTTTCTCTCTACAGCTATAGATTAATTTTTTAAAGGTAGATAAGATGGAAAGTAAAACTTGAAGGGAAATAATAGAATTTTACTTAGTGTATTAAAGCCATTCCTTTTAGAAATGTGTTTGTATTCAAATAATATAGATTTAGCAAGTCCATGTAACTGTATAAATGCAATGAAATTATATTTTATAATTTAATGAAAATTCTGAACATTTGTATTATACTCAAATTTTTGGTGATTTATAGTTTCATTGTGCACCAAAGGCAATATCGGGCCATTATATAGAGAAAAGCATTAAAAATGAAGATGTTTCTAAAAATAATGCCACCGAATCTGACAGTTGTAACCAGAGAAAATATTCTCAGCTTCTCTTCTAGTCCATTTTCTTTCATAGCATATTATTTAAAAAGAGCCACACTGTGTATTTAATCAGAATGTGATTCCTTGAGTGAGTTCTTTAGTGGCGCATTTGGAAGACATCCAGGAAGGCAGCATTCATACTTAACCTGATTTAACAAGACTGATCGGAAGCACGTTCATGAACAAAGTCTGGAATGACTGTGCATCATGCTGCCTCATGCCCAGAGGAGCAAGGGCTCCCATCAGAAGCTGCTTTCCAAACCGTCCAGCCCAGAGTTAATTTCTTAGATTTTTCGTTTTTATTTCTGCATACTCCCCCATAGAAGGCAGGAAAATAAAATTTTGCTGTTCTAAGAACTTTATGTTCAGGTAGCAGTTCAGGGCTACACAAAGAATAAAAATTGCCACAGTGGTAATGTTTAAAATGTAATTGTTAGTGTTCATGAAGTCTGAAATACACAACATACATCTTTAAAGAAAAGATAATTCCCCAGCTTTAACGAGAAACATTCTTTTAACTTGCCAAACCCCATTTTCAGTGGAAAAATAGCATTCCAAAAGAATGTACAATTTTTATAATGCTTATTAACACATAAATTACATTTTAGGATTTGATGAAACTTTTTTGGTCAGAGTGTCCCATGGGGCCTTTCATTGATTCATAAACACTGATTTCGATTGTGAAAGAATGGAACAAATGTTTATCTCACATGGCTTTCTCAAAGGCAGCCATGTGCCTTGAAATAAAACTATTGATAGTACTTTCTAGGAAGATATTGACAAGGCTAGTCAGCTTCAAATTTGATCTATGGACACAGAATTCCTACTTGAAAGGATCATGTTCATCAATATATGTGTTGGTGTGTGTGTGTGTGTGTGTGTGTGTGTACAGGCAATCCATAATCAATTTATAGACTTTATGGAGAGGGAAAAAAACACTGAAGGCTTCAATAGTTTGAGGAAGTGTGGGGCATGTACGTCATATATAAACTAACATATAATGGGAAATAGCTACAGATTAGCCCAAACTAGAGTATTTTAAAAGAGGGCAATTTTAGAACTTTTAGGCATACTCTCAAAATGAGTTAACTTAGCAGATATCCTTAAAAGTAGTTTTGAATCATAGGTTACTACTGCCTAAATTGTTTGTGTTGATTTTTAAATGATTTAAAAATCTATTGAACTCAATTTGTTTATCAAACCTGTACCTTGTTGACAGTAGAATAAAGACACCCTCAATCTATAACAAAGTTATCATGAATTCCAACTGAATGTAGTGAGATTGTACTGTGTGTGTGTTTGTGAATGTGCTGTTGTGCACATAGAAATGGGAGTAAGGAGAGAGTCTCCTATTACATGTCGAAGGGCTCAGTGGCCGTGTGGATTGGTGTATGTGGGGAAAAGTACACTTGTCAAGGTAAGTTGAAAATTCAAAGTCAGACATTAAATTAGTCCCATTTAGAATTGACATTGACAGAACTCCTTTAGAAATCTCTGAGGCGCAGGAAGCAGAACTACACACACGTCTTTGAGACTATTCCCATAAGGACAGCCAAGATGTTCAAGAATAAAATCCCTAATGTCTTCAAATTTTAACAGAAACCATAATTGCATGTAAATAGAATTTTGGTAAAAGAAAGTTGTTTCGTTGTTCTTTTCTCTAATGGAATTGGAAATTTAAATTAACCTACAGGTTAATCAGTTTTCTTCCAACAATTATAAAATCCTAAAGCCAAGGATTAGTGAGTCAATATTTAATAGTTTCTGAAGACGCTAAGATTTAAATTAATTTTTTATATTGCTTACTGCACAGCAGGAAATCACATGTAGAAAAGGAAACCAAATTGTTTACAGTAACCTTTGTGATTTTGAATTATTAATTTAATTTGAAAAATGTAGTGGCTAGGCAGACATTCAATAGGAAACATATGATGCATAATGAGCCTAAGCCAACATTAGATTAAATAGAATAGATAGAAAGTAATAACCTCTTTATGAAATGAAAGTGTTTGTGTATTATGCTTTTCTTGACTCACAATGAAGAAGCGTAGCCACCAATAGTAAAAGTAAATTAGAGTAGTGTTTGCTCCAGGTCTGGAATGACTGATGCATGCTTCCTCTGCTTGTTTCCTCGTTAGGGCTTATGGCCAGAAGAGATGCCAATTTTAAGTACCAATTTCCCTTTGAATTATTTGAAATGGGAGCTGCCTGATATGAATGACTTCCCATGAAATGAAATTATAGTTAGGCTCACAGACTTACCTATAAATGTAAATGCAGTAATATGTATGCATGGGCATGCTACTAATTTTATTGAAGACTTAACCAAGCTTTCTATGCAACTAACATAGATCTTTAGCAGTGTTCACGTAGGCGTGGAGTAATGATTTTCTGGGGTTTCTGTAGATACCTCTTGATTTTAACCCTTAAATTGTTACTGACTGGAAGGAGGAAAAGGCAAGAGATAGAGAGGGTTCTAGAGAGAAATTTTGAGTCACATCCTCATGAAAATGTGTAAGAAAATTTATTACCACTTCCTCTGAACACGAATTTTCATTTTCATACCTAGTGTTCCAAAATGTGTATGAAGGAAACATGGGGCGGGGGGAGGGTCCATTTGTCAAATTGCTACACAAAGGTTCGAGAAATTGTTTGGATTTGAACAACTTGTTTGGCTGTAAGCATTGTGCAACCGATCAGCCCTACATTCTCTGACTTTTCATTTATGAAAAATTTAGTTATTTGCCTGAATACCCTGGACCCAAGGCAGAGGGGCAGAGGGGCCTCCCTATTATATATCATATTTGAGATATGTGTTAAATCTGTGAACCCTCATTTCCTTAAGAGGTGGCAGATTTTTTAAGTCTAAATTCTTGAGGTATGCCAGGAGCTTTCAGAGTTTTCCTGGCTGAGAAATTAGTCCAAAGTAACCCTCCACTGCATCACTGGCCCAAGGTGAGCGCCCAGAAGTGCTGTTCTCCAAGCTGTTACACCCCTTGGCCATTGGCCGACCTATTGCACAGCCTCTTTACTCCACAGGGTCACCCTGTGAAGTATGTGTTAGTATCATAAGCATTTTGTCAATCAGAAATTAGCTTGTCCAGAGTCACTGAACAGGTAAATGGCAGAGGCAGGACCTGAAACCAGGACGCCCCCAGCACTTAGCTCCTACTCTTCCCTCTCTGTGTGAGGTGCCTTGTCCGGCCCAAGGTGGTGGGTCTGTAAGACAAATGCCCCTTTACCACGATTCAAACCTCAGCTGCACCGTGTCCTGTTTGTGGACCGCCCCGGTGTCTCTCTGATCAGTGAGCGAAGGAAGAAAGTAGCCTCTTGACCTCTGTCTTCATTCTGCCCCTGCCTCTCCACCACGCCAGGAGCTCCTGAAGGGCCCACCTGGTGAAACTTGATTCCTGATTTTTGTTTCAAGAATGGAAAGTGTCATTTCCGGGGTTCCTTTTCTTCTTTGTCCCCTGTTCCCCCTTTATTCACTCGAGCCCACGCAGGTTCTGCCAATCCTGCAATCCTGGGGCCTCCCCGCTCAGCTCTGCCAGCGCAGTGGGCTGTGGGCTCACACCTCCAGGCTGCCCTCCGGGCTGCCTCCGGGCCCCCTGTGCCTGTTGGCTGACACGTAGGCCTCAGAACTCAGCACTGTGGGCTGGTCAGCGGATGGTTTTCTGTTATTTGAGGGAGTAATACAATTAATTGAACACCCCAGGAACTGTACCCTCACCCCATTTTTTTTTTTTTTTTACAATCTGAAAAAGGCATTACACATTTGTTGTGACATACAGGAATGGTATGAAAAAACTGGAATTGGGCTCTGATACCCCTATCTGGCTTTTGGGGCAGAAATGTTTGTTAAATATCACATAAGTGGAGGAGAAAGTAGAAAGTTAAGAGAAAAGGAGAGTTGTTTTTTGGTGTTTTTTTTTTATTTTTTATTTTAGTGAATTTTTTAAAATCCTCACCTGAGGATATGTGTTTTTATTGTCTGTTTCTTTAGAGAGATAAAAGGGAGAGGAAGAGAGAGAAAGAGAAACATTGATCGGTTGCCTTCTGTAGGCACCCCAACCAGGGATCAAACCCAAAACCTGGGTATGTGCCCTGACCATGAATTGAACCCCTGGCCTTTTGGTGTACAGGACAGTGCTCCCACCAACTGAGTCACACTGATCAGATTGTTTTGTTGTAGTTTTTTTTAATATCGAAAGCAACAAGAAATATGAGAGCACAACTAATGAAAAATGTCAATCCAATGGGATAAAGTGTTCAGACCAAATTTTTAACCTCTTGGCTTCTATTCCTGGCTCTGCCACTGTGTGTCTTTGGAGAAGATAATTTCACTTACCTGGAACTTTGCTTCTGCCTTTTAAAAATAAAGGAAAAAAATAATACCAAATACATTTTCTATGTAGAAATATAATGTATCTATTCCCAATCAACATGGGGCAGGAGCGTAGAGGGTAGTTCAGCTATATGACTTCTTCCTCAGTAGGTCTTTTAAGGGTTAATGAAGACAGTGTGCTGGTATTTGCACACCTCTTAGAAGAGAAGTTCCCTGTGTGGACTCTAGGAGGCGTACCTGAGCACTGCTTTGCTAACAACCACCATTTGTCCTGTGCAGTGTGCACGCACAGAGCCGTGATAGTCGTGTGTGATGTGTTTTGGAGTGCAGTGTATTGCCTTTTCTGAAACTTTTTCCCTTTCTTTCTTTTTTTGTCAACTTTCTGCATTGGCAGAGCATCTTGGGATTGAATTTATGGGTATGGACCAATCATCATTCCTTTTAGCCTGCAGAATTTAGAGCCTATGAGCTGAAATCTTTTTCCCTTCCCCCTCTTCCCTTTCAGTTCCTAACTAATTTCCTTTTTCTTTAGAAGGGATCATACAGCCATAACAATGATTTCTCCGCTTTCGGTCTATGATTAGTTAACCGAAATGCTACTGAGTGCAGCAGATTTTAGATTCCCAAGCTCCACTTCGAGTTTAAAATCACCTCACCTGCTGCAAATGCACATACATCCCACATTCCTGACCCACTGATTGGACCTGGCCATGCTGTTATTTCAGAGCTGGGGTAAGTTGCAGTGGTGCCCAAGGCGACAGGAAGAACCCAACCAGGGCTCTGAAAAACAAAGACGTTTTTAAATCCATCACCTTAGAAAACACCACGTCTTAGGCTGACAGGAGCTTGACATACAATATAAAAATCAAATGTAACATAGTAACAGAGAAAGCCCTCACGGCAGCAACACAATAGTATGGGAACAGACGTGAATTGCTCTGATTTTCTGGAGCTAGTCAAGCGTGACTCTCATCACCGTCATTATCTCCCAAGCTGGGAAATAGAACACAGAAAGAAATGAGCCTTGTGCTATTTTAGGTGGAAATTCGAGTGCTAATGGAATTAAACTTGAGTCACTAAGATTAGCCAGACAAGTAATCAAACACTATAAACGCGAAATACCCCCTGTGAGCACATGGATTTGGGGCATGCTCCTTTTGCAGGCCTGAGTCCTGACAGTTGGTGGAAAAGGCCAGTCTTGGGAGGAGGGGAAGCTGAGCTGCCTCTCCCGAGGCTTTACTGCGCAGGCCCAGGCCTGCCGAGCACTGCACACAGCCCAGGAACGCGGTCAGGGGTCAGCAGTGTCCTGATTAACAGAGTATCTGCTCCCCGTCCAGCTGGTTCAGTGACATCATGCAGGGAGGGCACCCTACAGCCGCTGTTTTTTTAGGCTGATGACATCACAGTTCACAGTTAATGCACTTCCGTAGTCTGTGGAAATGAGGCCGTTGCAGGTTCTAGCAGTTGCAGGAGTAGAAACTCAGTTCGTTGCCCATTCCTCCAAAAACTTCCAAGAGAAAACTATACATTTAATGAGAAAGCACCCTCATTTATATGTGGTCCTTTGAACATCGAGAGCATCTTCCAAGAGAGAAGCAAGAGAGGGACCACCAATGTCACTTGAGTGGCAGGTCGTCTGCATGAGGGGAGTTATCCATGTGGGTTACTTCCCTCGGGATAAAAATCGACCCACTTCCTAAAAGACTTATTGGCTCTTCCTGCAGGGAGGAAAAACATTCCACCATCACCTCCCCTCCTCTCCCTAGCAGCATCTTTCCTACTAGTTTCCTTTAGGGTCTGACCGTAGAATGCATTATTTCCATTCCCAAGCAGTGAAGTAAGGTAAAGGATGGTTCAGATCTACCACTTCTCCCTCAGTAAGCTCTTCGGGGTTAGTAAGGACACGCGGTGCTGGTGTTTGTATGCCTCGTGAAACAATCCTTCCGGAGGCTTCACAGTCCCAGTCTAGAACGGCCCACCCCTAAGGAGAGTCAGAGCTTACAGGTCACTTACCACTGAGCAAGACAAGGCCTCTGGCTCCTGGCCTGGCCAGATCATACTGAAAAACGGGCTTGATCTGAGTCACTTGAATGGGCTCAGCCAGACCACAGAGCAAAGTCTCAGCCGCATCTCCTCGAAGGCAGAGCTGCCAGCTGGACCGAGGGCTACTTTTTTCTGTGCTGCCTCTCATTTCCTGTTGCCCTATTGACCTTATCACACTAGGAAAAAAAATAAGGAAAAAAAGGGGGCTTAAGAGAAACCATTGTTTACATTATTTTTCATCAAGTATTTTTCTTTTAACATACTCCTATGGGGGGGGGGCACTTGATCTAGGAAAGCGCTGGAAAATCAAACAGAAACTTACATGAGAAACATTTAAGGCATTCAATAAATTCTGATGTGGATGCAGACTCTGAACCCCACCTCTGCGTTCCACGGGCCTTGGCTTTAGCCGGTTCACGTAAGCGCGTTTGCCTCACCCCTTGGCCTTCAGCGGGCTGCCCCTTATCTCCGTGACCCGTCTCACTGGGAAATGTGCCTCCCGGCAGAGCAGGGAGGATGGGCGAGTCGTTATGTCAGGGGTTCACAAACCCAGGTCAGTCTATTCTTTTACCATGAACAACCACCCGCAGACTTGTCAAAGGACTCCCTGCGAGTAATCCTTGAACAGGTCCCATCTTTGTAGTTTGCAGAAGCAGTTGCCCCGTCCGAAAGACAGGATGTTAGGATGTCCACGCTACCAAACCCTTACTGCTCTTAAGGAAGCAAAAACAGAGTGAGCAAAAAAGGACACAAAATTCAGGGTCTTCATGTTCCTGGCAATAATACTTTCAACATTCCTATTTCTGAACCGATTGGCAGTAACCAAGGAGCCCTGCTCCGCTTCCTGGGTCCACGAAGAAGGACCCGCCGGGTGCTACTTCTGCTGTTTAGACATTTATGCTAACTACTGATCTGGATGCCAGGTCCAGGAGGGGGCTCCAGGGGCATCAGCTCACAGATTAGCACCCCAAAAAATGCAATTCTCCATCCTGTGGCTATGGGGGAGGGGAGGCAGCAGACACAAGCAATTAACACAGGCATTCACATTCCACTCTTCACTTGACTTTTGCGGCACAAAATTACCTGCCACCACTCTTGTGTCTCCTGGTCCGTTGTCCCACCGCTGTACACCAGCTGCTCTGCTTCCTGTGTGGCTTCCACGTGCCGGCAGCCTAGGTTAGGAGTTATGCTGTATGGGGTCACCCTTCCAACTTTGCATCCGCCTTTGCCTCCTACCTGAGCACCTCCTCCCTCTGGTTTTCTTTCATTTGTTCCTTTTTCCTCCCTTAGTACCAGGCATGCTGTGCCAGGGACTTCAGATGACTCCTTCACTTTTAACCTTGTTTTGCCTCGTACCTGACTTCCTCCCTCGCTCAGTCATTCTGTCAGTCTGTCTGTCCTCTTGGTTTGTTTTTTCTTTCCACTTCCAACCCTTTCGGTTTGTTTTTGTCTAATCTCTGCGGCATTCTAGTCTTTCACCCACTGACTTCTGTCCTCCCCCTCCTCCTGTTAATAATCAGTGCTATATTAATTTGATTTGACAATGTTCCTGACCTGTTAACTGGAATTTGATTACCATGGGCTTGGCTTGTAGGAAATGTTTTGTTTAATGATAAGGGCCAATGTATCAGAAAAATTAAAATGCACTTTTTCATTTCAAGAAAACTTCCTGTGAACTGCTCTCTCTGTAGAGAGAAAAAAGGTGTGGTTACTGAGACTGAGAATGTAAACTGAAAATGGTCATAAGGCCCCATGCTGATGTCCAGAAAAGAGACGTTCGTTTGTATAATATTCTCCAGTTCTTGACCAGCTTATCAATCAGAAAACCAAGTACAATTTATACTGCTGATTATGCACCGCTTGAGTTCTCTTTCTCAGTGACCTGGACACTATCTTCAGTAAGTGGAATTAGACTGGTAGGAAGCTCAGCTAAGGACTCGGGTTCACCATTCAGTCAGCCAATCTTGTTAAGAACCTGACCTACCGTATAATCAAGTCTGCCCCCCAAAACTGATTTGCCAATAGAAAGACTCCCATGCATAAGAGACTGGTTGCATTGGGGGTGCAATAGTACCTTTAGTTCACAGTTCTAAGCATCACACTTCCTTAGTATAATGTATATTAGCTAACTAGCCATGCTAGTCAATGCAGAAATAGATCACCTGTTCCAAATCACACATTGTTTGTGCTATTAGTTCCTTTATACAAATAGATGAGGTCTCTAAGTACAACTGGTGAAGTAATAATAATTGTCCTCCAAAGAACAAATCTTCACCTTGGACCAGGACTGTCCTACCCATCATGTTGGGCTTTCTCGGATACAGTGCTGTGCTACTCCATATCATGTAGCTTCTGTTCACATTTTACTGTGAAATCATAGGGATCCTTCCCTAATTTTATTGCTAACTACAAGCCAAGCTCATGTTTGCAAATGTCTTTGAGTTTATTTCATTAAGTTATAAATCATTCTTTGTAAAGACCACTGGAATATACAATAGCTGGGAAATCAAAAGAGACTGGGGTGGAGAGAGAAAGGAAGAGAGGAGGGTCCCGGCGCCAAACCCAGCTTCTTTTATTGGCAATAATTCCTGTTGTCTTTGCAAGAGATTTTTAAAAAATAAAAAGTACAGTTTTAACCAAATAGTTATTTTATAATCAATGTCTATGATTTGCTAGTTTAATACATCTGTATCTATAGCTTATAATTAAAGTAATGTTAAAGCATACTACTTGTTATTGTAAATGGCCCCATCTGGCTTTGCCGTTTATGTTCCAAATGTGGTGCAGAGTATGCTGTACCTTAAGTACATCTGCAAAAGTAATGAATTGTCACATATTCATTTTCTTGTGACTGTGGACAGTGCCATAACGCATGCCAACTGTTCAATTGTAAGTCCTGGCAGGTGTTAAGGGGCCTTTGGTGACATGTGCTCTCGCCCCTTTCCAGAAGCGGAGGAGCTCTACCAGAAGAGAGTGCTGACCATCACCGGCATCTGCATCGCCCTGCTAGTGGTCGGCATCATGTGTGTGGTGGCCTACTGCAAAACCAAGTAAACCTCCCTCCTCCGCGCCTCTCCTCCCGAGCCCAGAGCAGCTGGCCGGGGCTTTCCGGAAACCTGCCTCCGCAGCCCAGTCTTGAGAAACAGGGCGGCGCGGGGCCCCAAGGGGACTTTTCCCCTTCGTTTGTCTTCTGAATATTCCAAATTGATCATCTTTCCTAATTGCAGTTAGAAAGCACTGCCTATTTGTGCGAAAATGTTGAGAAGACTCCTGATGAGTGATCATAGTCCCATGACCAGAGGGGCGGGTTGTGTGGGGGCCCACAAGTGTGCGTGTGCATGGGGTGCGTGCACCTCCACATCCTGAGAGGGGGTGGTCGGGGGCAGAAGTGCGCTTGTCGAACACTGCCGAGGACACGTCCAATTTGCACTAATGGTTAGAAGATAAAGGAAATGCTTGGTGGTGTTTGAAATGCTGTTTTCTGATCGTTACACTGATTATTTTTTAATTCCATCTAATTACGTTTCCAGTTCAGATGCTTTTGAGTGTGAGATGTACAAAAGGAACCTCATGGGAGGAGAATCAAGCAAAACTTGCTTTGAAAGAACAAAAGGGAAAACATTAAAACAGATCTGTGCTCACTATTTTTGATCCTTTAAACCGGGTCTCGATGAACAAATAGAATCAGAATCACTTTGTGACATGAACTCCCTCCACTTTCTCTCTGACGTATCACCTCCACCTCAAGTCTAAAACAGTGTCAACGGTTTTGTTTTGTTGCTTCGTCACATAAATTCTCTTGCCAAAACTAGTCACGGGGATATTGTTCTGATCTGAATGTTGTGTTGAGGAACATGCAACCATTTAATGAGGAGCCATTAAATCAAGGGCATGAATGGTGCTTTCTCAATACCCCGAGACCCAGTGCCAGAATCGAGTAAGTGACAGAGATAAGCCTTCATGGAGGCAACCTTATGAGTCATTTTAGATATCTTAACATGTATTACTCAGTTATACAAAAAAGTGTTACTAGAGTAGAATCGTGTTACAATTGTGCCCAAATCTACAGGCAAAAACATGCACATATCTTCACACACGTGCAGTACCACACACACACACACACACACACACACACACACACACACACACACACCGTGTAGAATGCACAGATTTGAAACGAACCGTATTTTCTTAAGGCAAACCGGCAAAATTGTCCATGAAATCAGCTTTATTAATCGCACAGTACGAATCGTCGCCCAGGACAAATGACCATCTGTAAGCCGGAGGCACAGATGGGTGGTTAGGCAGCGGGGGTTTCAGCCAGATACCACCGGAGTCGTCTGTCTGCGCCGCCGTCTGGCTCCCAGGCCAGTTGCGTTTCGCGAGGAGCCCAGGCGTCGTCCTGCGCCCCGGCGGGCAGAGGTGCCCGGCTGCGGGGCAGAGGTGCCCGGCTGCCGGGCGGACCCTGGGACGAAGGGCAGCCCCTCACCACCAACCCCGGCCGAGTTCTGTGTTGCTGAGATAAGACTGGACTGAAATCACAAATGTAAACAACAGAAAAAGTAAACACTCCCTTTCTCCCCTCCAGGAAACAGCGGAAAAAGCTTCACGACCGGCTCCGGCAGAGCCTTCGGTCGGAGCGGAACAACATGGTGAACATCGCGAACGGGCCGCACCACCCCAACCCGCCCCCCGAGAACGTGCAGCTGGTGAACGTACGTGGCCTCTGCGGGGCGGGGGGCGCGCGGCACCCTCCCTGCCGGCCCCTTGCCTTATTCTGCAAAGCTCTCAGGCATTTAGCTGCTGCCAGTAACCCCCCGGGCTTCCAGGAACCCGGGGTTTTGCCAGGAGAAAAGAATGGGAACATTTTTTAAAGTGGATTTGGTGACGGAAAGACCAGCACGTTTCCTCTTCCGAAGGGCTCATTAAGGGCTTGGAATCAGAACCCTGGGTTGGTTCTGCAGGGGCCGTAGCTGAAAGAGAAGAAAACCGCAAAGGAGACTTAGGAAATGACGGGTACAAGCATCAGAAGGAAATGTTTTATTTTTGTAATTTGGAAATGAAAGCTACTCCAGCCTATAAGTGATTAGTGCTGATAACTGAGCTAAGGGCTTTGGAGTGATGTGTATGAGAGGCAGGCCACAGGGCCGAGAGATTTGCGGATTCTGATTTACGAAGGAAGAAATTAGGGCATGAAAAGGTCAAGTGACTTATCCAACTTGCTTCTCGGCAAAACGGGAAGAACATCATGCTTTCTTCTTATTCCCTGACTCTTTCTATGTGATGCCACACCCTCCAGATGGAATCTCCCCTTAACTGTTCGAGTGTTTTGTTTAAAAGTTACTAAACACTCAGCTTCTAAATATAACCAAGTCGTGGAATATTAGATTCTGGAGCATCTTCAGATATCATTTTCCAAACCTCCCTTTTGACAGATAAGGGCTAGAGCTGGGCTCAGTTTTCCAGGCTTGCAAAGTAGTATTCTTGTTTTCTTCATTTCTCTCTGATGTCTGGCTCTTTATAAGCAAAGCTTGAAGATTACCATTTCTACCCTATAGAAGGAGGTATGTTTTGTGTAGAGCAGACATATGGACCCAGGTTCAGAGCTGGTGGTTACTAAACCACCAGAAAGTCTTGCAGCAGAGACTTTCAGGAGCCTGTTCGAGTAAGGTGCTAACGTTACCAGACTTTGCCGCTTTCCTCCCCCGAGCAGTGTTCATCAGAATGTTCTGCATGGTTGATACATGCGCTCACTACAGACACACCTAGAAGCTGTCACTACAAAGGTTACAAGAGATGGGAAGCAGAATGACGGCCTAGATTCTAATCATGGCTCAAGCACAGTCTGACTTTAGGTTTCAACCTTTCGAAACCCTATTTGTTCATTATGAGCACAGGCCTCAAAAGAATACCTATTTCGGAAAGTTCTTAGCATTAAATAAGAGAAGCTATGTGAAACATATAGTTGTTAAATATTCTTTTCCTTAGATGCCCTGAGCTGACATTGCCTTCCAGGAACAACAGTGACGGTGCACAGACTGGAAGTAGCTCATTATGTATGACACCGCCACCTTTCCCTTAGAGCGAGCTAGCCGCACGTCCTGGGGAGCCCCGTGGAACAACCTTTTCTCTAAGAGAACCAGCTAGAATGTCAAGCACTATCAAGTTGAATTTGGGGGCGTTTCCATGAATATATCAGGTTCTTCTCGTGCCCACAGCCCATCAGAACACAAAGTGCCCTGTTTCATCTAGAGTATGCTTTTCCTCCCTCATCCTCCCATCGAACTTACTTTGGTGTAAATAGGAATAGCATTTAAAAACTACCTCAGAATGTGCCTCTCTCACCGAGAGAAGGTGCAGTAGTTATTGTGCTTTGGTGATGAAAATGAAGGCGAATGTAATTGCGCTGCATCTGGATCCTCCACGTATTAGGTGCTTTCTCAGGATGTGTGACCTTGACAACTGCTATTAATCCTTCAGCTCTCTTGTTAGTCTTACTGCTGGCAACTTAAAATGTTCAGTGGTGTCATTTGGGCAACATGGGCACTTGGAAATTGTAAGACAGAGGTAGATCCAAAATACGGAGACATTAAACAATTTTTTTCTTCACTCGTAACAACCATGGCAAAAAAATGAATACCGGGCAAGATTTGTACTGAATGTGTCATGCTATCAACTAGAAACAAAGTAGAAAAAAAATAGGTCTGTTTCCAATAATATGTAGTTATGATTGTAGCACCAACATTGAGGGCACCTCCAAAGAGTAATTTATTAACTTTATTCATCTAACCTAAAGGCCACAATAGCCAGGATAGGATTTGCTATCTGGCCATTGGAGAAATGAAATTTTTTATAAAGCATGTGTACTAGAATGGATTTTTGTGTGTGTGACAATGTTAATGTTTTAATTTCCATGAGTCTTCAAGTTGTGTCTCTTTGTTTATCCAGCAATACGTATCTAAAAATGTCATCTCTAGTGAGCATATTGTTGAGAGAGAAGTGGAGACATCTTTTTCCACCAGTCACTATACCTCGACAACTCATCATTCCACCACTGTCACCCAGACCCCGAGTCACAGGTATGAGAGAAACCAATTGCATGGCATTTCTCCGAGAATGAATTGTGCATGTTTCTTCGTGCTGTCATTGTCTAAAAAAGGGACAGGATACACATATGGGACAGTGAAGTACAGTTAAATATATGGTTTGGGACAAAAACAGACTTTGGACATCAGCCGGCTCTGCCATTTCATTGCTGTTTAAATTTGAGCCTTAATTGTTTTTGTCATCAAACAAGGGAAAATTATACCTACTTCAAGGATTGTTGTTCCTCAATTGAGAGATTGTCTTAGATTTGCCCCATCACTCACTGAACTGCCACACTGGGAAAAGTCTGTCTTAGATGCTACATGTAATACTTAGAAGCTGACTTTTTCCAATGAGTGAATTGCCCTGGGAAATGCACATGAGAAATGGATTAAATAGGTAAACCCTAAGTTTGCAAATGCCCTGGGGACGAATATCTGGTTGCATGCTACCAAAGGCAGCACTAGACTTCCAGATGTAGCACATTGAACAAGTTTCCCTAACCTAAGCTACTCAAAATCAGGATGAATATAAGAATAGTTAGTATGTAGTGACATTTGATAAATGTGTTGAATGAGGGAACAAGTGAATAACCTGTATCCTTATAAAACCAATCTAAATCAAGATCCTTCCTATAGCAAGTCTCTTTATAACAATTCTACTCCGAGACAAGCAATGTCGCCGTGAACTACTGCTGCAGCAATCATTTGAAATATTTGTCAGGTCATTCTCTTTCATTTCCAGTTTTGCATATGACTTTTAAAAATACCTCTTTGCCTTTCACATTTCCCCTCTAGCTGGAGCAATGGACATACCGAAAGCATCATTTCAGAAAGCCACTCTGTAATCATGATGTCATCAGTAGAAAACAGTAGGCACAGCAGCCCAGCTGGGGGCCCAAGAGGACGTCTTAATGGCATGGGAGGCCCTCGTGAATGTAACAGCTTCCTCAGGCATGCCAGAGAAACCCCTGACTCCTACCGAGACTCTCCTCATAGTGAAAGGTAAAACCGAAGGGCAAAGCTACTGCAGAGGAGAAAGAACCCCAGTAAGAGAACCCCCTGAGCACCAGCGGTCTCACCTAAGGAAGTCTACTCTAATGAGAATAAGGGGCGGCAGTGGCCTGTCCTGGCAGTGCTCCTAGTTGATGAAGTCATCTTTTTGTTTGACTGAACTCATTGCTTCCGAGCTGCTCACGTCGTCCCAGTGGCTGACAGGCAACAGACTTAACAGGCTGGAATGATCTGGTGCAGAAGGTGCAGCCAACTTGGAGTTCCTAGCTCTGACCTGAGGCTCAGGCCCACTCGGGATCTGTCTCCTCAGTTGTCACTTTAGAGAGATGGCACCGGTGATTGATAAGGACCCTTCTCTAATTCTAATTTGCCAATTATCCAAAACGCTTGTCGAATTGACCTCGTGTTCTCACGTGCTAATTCTTCTTACCTTCCAGCCTCAGTTAAATCAGATCAAGGGCTGTGTCATTGCTGACTGTCATGGGGCACACCTGCTTGTGTTCCACCCTAGAGTACCCCTTTCCTGCAATTCCACGAAGGGGTGAATAAATACATCTTTTATATGCTGCGTCTGACAGTCTTCACGGGTGGTTTCCAAAGCAGATCTTGCCTCTGATAGGGCCCTTTGTTTTGGCTTTTTTTTTCCTGGGGATATTGGATGGCGTTGGAGAATTATAGCAGAGGTAAAATTAAAAACAGAGGAAAGCAAACTGAAAGAAATGCTTAACAGGAATACTGAATTTGTAGATTCTGTTTAACCATTTCCTCCTAAGCCGGGAGTTACACCTACTCAGCACTTCTGGCCTGGCAGTGAGTGGTCACTTGTGTTTGCCAGTCCAGTGGGGTCGTCTGTGTGTTTACTGTGTCATCTCAGTCTGATCTTGGACCACCTGTTCAAACTTTACATAATGTCAAATCCATGCTTATTTGGTGTTTACATGGGTGGAAATAATTTTTATAGACTTTTTCCACTCATGGACTCGGAAGTACTTAAAACAAAAGGTGACCAGTTCTGGGCTTTCAAGCCACAGAGAACCTGCTGATCACTTCTTGAAGGGCCTTTCTATGAAATAACCCAAAATGGTATTTCAGAGATTTATGGAATTAAAGGTTGCTCTATTCATGTGTGAAAAAGTAGATATTGTCCAAAGCTGGTTTAAAATATTAGTCTTGGATATATATAAGTACTTATTTATGTATTTAAAAAGTCTATCTGTCCTATTTAAGTCGTTTTTGAAACCCGAGAAAGAGGTTAGGAATCCATGTGTTATCACTACATGTAACACTTATCTTTAAAGGATGCATTTCCCTACTGTGGTGGGCTTCCTTGAATACCTCAGACACCCTCTAGGACTGCAAAGCACACCTGAAACTAGAGATCATGAAGAGAAAAGACAAATCACTTGTACATGTTTGTTGAATTTGGATTAACATTTCTCAGAGAGCTTAATTTAAGTTCCCCAAAGCAAAAAGTCTGAAGACCAGGCCCCAGATATTTCTCTCTGTAGACACTTCCCCATGTTAGACACAGCTAGATCTCACGTGCACGTAACTCTGAGTCGTGGCTGAAAAGCAGGAGCGCTGATTGGTTCCTGTTAGCAAATGTTCAGACGATGGTGCCCTGTGTCATCACAGGTCATGTCCCGGTAGACTCCCAGCGTGCCAATGTGAAGAACAGTCATTTAGTGCTGTGCACTGGTAACATGTGTATCAAAGGCTGAGAAATATGACTCTGAATGAGCCACATCTTCTTCTCCAGTGTCAAATCAGGTCTTCTTCTAGGGGGAAAAAGCATAACATGGTAAAAACAGTGCACTCAATGTCTTGACAAGCAGGTTTACTGAGCATTATCAGACATGACATGACACAAGGTAACATGGTACAGCCAACCCTGAGCAGTCACAAAGAGAGGCCAAAGACTGATGCAGCTGTATGTTCGGGAAGAAAGGTAGACCAGAGATGGAACATGCTACGGCGCCAGCGTTAAGGTTCTCTCAGGCTTACCTTTGGATGTCTTGGTCACTGGGATGCATAGTTGCAAACTGAATGTTAAGAAGTAGCATTTCATGGAAAAATTTAAAGCACACAAATGTGTTCCACTGTTATCAGGAATAAATCTAAGTCACTATGCTCTTTTTTTTTCATAAGACATAACCTTATAGCTGAGCTAAGGAGAAACAAGGCACACAGATCCAAATGCATGCAGATCCAGCTCTCAGCAACTCATCTTAGATCTTCTTCCATTCCCCATTTGGGCTTCATTCTCTAAGACCCCTTGGCCTTTAGGAAGGTATAGTATTTCAGCAATACTTCTTTCCCTTACAAATCCCCGAGCCTCGGTCCTCATAAACTAACAGGTTTCCAGGACCTAGTGCCCTCTTGTCTTGACTCATGCTTTTATTTAAAATCACGATGGGATTGGAAACCTAAAAGCTGTGACGAGCTAGGCCACGTAGCTGATCTGTGCATGCACTCCTCTAAGGAAACTCTTGGCTACATAATGTTAGATTCCAAGGGTGCCGAATGTCCTAGTGTAAAAATCAAGAAATATACAATGCGTAGAAGTTCTTTGTTCTCTGATTATATAGTACCTTGAACTCTGTCCCCTCACCCCCCCTACTCTGTGCCTCTTATTCCACCACACTTATGCGGGGTATTCTGTGCTCACACAGGTATGTGTCAGCCATGACCACCCCGGCTCGTATGTCACCTGTAGATTTCCACACGCCAAGCTCCCCCAAATCGCCCCCTTCGGAAATGTCTCCACCCGTGTCCAGCACCACGGCGTCCCTGCCCTCCATGGCAGTCAGCCCCTTCGTGGAAGAGGAGCGACCCCTGCTGCTGGTGACGCCGCCCCGGCTGCGGGAGGAGTACGACCGCCACCCTCAGCAGTTCGACGCCTTCCACCACAACCCCGCGCACGAGAGCCGCAGCCTGCCCCCCAGCCCCTTGAGGATAGTGGAGGACGAGGAGTATGAAACCACCCAGGAGTACGAGCCAGCCCAAGAGCCTGTTAAGAAACTCACCAACAGCCGACGGGCCAAAAGAACCAAGCCCAATGGCCACATTGCCAGCAGGTTGGAAATGGACAGCAACACAAGCGCTGAGAGCAGTAACTCAGAGAGCGAAACAGAGGATGAGCGAGTAGGCGAGGCCACACCTTTCCTGGGCGCACAGAACCCCCTGGCGGCCGGCCTGGAGGCAGCGCCCGCCTTCCGCCTGGCCGAGGCCAGGACTAACCCCGCGGGCCGCTTCTCTGCGCAGGAGGATTTGCAGGCCAGGCTGTCTAGTGTAATCGCTAACCAAGACCCTATCGCTGTATAAAACCTAAATAAACACATAGATACACCTGTAAAACTTTATTTTATATAATAAAGTATTCCACCTTAAATTAAACAATTTATTTTATTTTAGCAGTTCTGCAAATAGAAAACAGGAAAAAAAAAACTTTTATAAATTAAATATATGTATGTAAAAATGTGTTATGTGCCATACGCAGCGATTTTTTACAGTATTTCCAAACGAGAACGATATCAATGGTGCCTTTCTGTTCTGTTCTGTCGAGAGCGAGTTTTGTACCGTTACCGTGATTGCTTTTCCACAGTATTTCAGCAGAACCTCCCACGTATTCCGTTTTTGCTGGCTTCTTGTGCATTGCATTATGATGTTGACTGGACGTATGATTTGCAAGACTTGCAACTGTTCCTCTGTTTGCTTACGGTAGCACCCCATCAGTACATCTTGTAATGGCACATCCCCCCAAACACTCTTCTCTGTCGTACGGAGTTTTCTTTTGCTTTCAGTGTATGAAATGAGTCATGTCTACTCTGCCAGCCAAAGGTTTGCTTCCCTGGGCTCTGAGATGATAGTAGATCCAACAGCATGCTACTATTGATTACGGCAGGACACTGCATGAAGTAACGTAACATATTAGGAAGAAAGTAATATTGTGATTTTTAAAAAAAAAAGACTATATTATTAATCAGAAGACAGCTTGCTCTCACTCAAAGGAGCTACCATTTACTTCATTTTGATTTTCCTTTCTTGACAAAAAAGCAACAGTTTGGGGGTAGCAGAGAAAATAAGGGGTTTGGCTTGCTATCAGAGTAAGTCCAACACCGTATAAGAGGACTCAAGGTCACTTTTTCTCGGGGGAAGGACACAGCCACACATGTAGTTAAAGATCAAACCGTGGCTGGAAAAGGTGCAGCCTCCCTGACCCGTAGTTTTCGCCGGTTTTGGAGCTGGCGATCGGTTGTGTCTTCTCGGCTCGGAACAGACATGCGATGGCACAAACGCCCCGGCTTGAACAGCACATTCGGCCCTTGTCTGAAATACTTCCAGAGTGCAATGTGCCTGCTGTACATAGTGGTGACTTGTCATCGTAGGGAAGTAGTGTCTAGGAGGAGTGACTGAGAGAAGACGCAGGGGGAGGGCCGCTCTGTGACATGGGCTGTAGGTTTAAACAGTTCTGTTGACCACTCCTTTCTCCTTATTTTCCCCTGGATTTTCAGTGTTGCCTTGATCAGGTCATAACTGTGCATGAATTTGTCAGGAACTGTGAGTAGGAAGAACCTTCCGCGAGGGACGCTCTACCAGGGAGTGTCCACTGTTGGAAAGATTGCACCTCTCCTTGCAGAATTGATCCCCCCCGTGTACTGACCTCTTGATTCAGTCTGTGTCACCCACGTCCCCCCTTTCTTACCTTTCACTTTACTGTCACAAAACAGGACTAAGATGGGTCTAAACATGTTCTCTTGTGATTATCAATCCAAGGGAGGCCTAGAGGCATTAACATTGAAGTGACTGCTAATTCGGGAAATTAAGAGATTTTTTTAAAAAAATTGCAGGCCCCGTTTCATGACCCGCCTGATTCCTGTCAAATCTGACTGGAGCTTTTCTTAGGTTCCCAGTAGATTCCTAGGAGCCATGCGACCAAATGGGACACAAGGTCTCAAGGAGGTCCGATACCAGGCATGAAGCAGTGAGCGTAGCTGCTCGTTTACAGATGCACTGAACCTATTTCCTCACCAATCTCTATGTTAAAGTCAAAGGGAAGAAGAACATGCAAATAGGTCTCAGAAGAAAAATGCAGGCTGGGCACGAGTCATGTGGTTAAGCTCCTGAGCGTCTCTACAATCCACAGAGGTGCCTGTCTGCAGCCCCTTGAAGTTCCTCTGGGTGTTGGGTATGCCAAGCCGCCCTGCACTGTTCACGTGCCACGTCTCTGTGCCCAGCAATGCCCTCCCTCACTCTTTGATCCACACAGAGGGGCCCTGTCGGGCTGCACAGTTGCACCGATTTCTCAGGTCTGGAGAAATGAGTAAGCTCACAGCAGGAGGAGGAAGACAGTCAACCCAAAGAGGTTCTATGAACTATTCTAACATTGCCTTTGAGTTGTTCTTAGATTATTTCAATACAAAATTCCTATCATGAATTAAAATTCTAAAATATTTGTTTCAAAGTCTACAGGCTTTGGGGTGTACAAATGTCTCATTTTGAAGAATTTTAGGAATAAATAAGATGTGTCGAGAGCAATGAACTACATATATTTTCACCAACATGAAAATTGCTGTAAATTTTCAGATCGTAAAATATAGAAAAATATAGGATAAGAGGAAATTGTATTTCCAACTAGATTCTGGTCACTCACAGAGGTGGCATTAGTCGGGGCAGCATTACCGTCTGCAGAACAAGACCTTCCTTTGATCAGAAAGGCCAGCTGACTCCTCAGGGCGACCTCCTGCGGCCACCAGATTTGTATTCACAGAGACATCTCTATGATGTTTATTGCCACATGGCCCTCGACCAACCCTGTTTATACACACTCAGGCAGTGCTGTGGCAATCCAAAGGAGCATGGACCTGTGTTCCCAGCAGACGAAAACCCACTGTGGGATTTGGGGTAGAGGAAATTTCCCAGAAGTTCCACAGCAACTTGTTCCCTGGGTCTGAATCAAAGCCTGTGGACAGGTACTCAGTGGAACATAGTATATGCAAAACTCCCTCTTCTCACTCGAGATTCCTTTTCTCTCCTACCCTCCCTTCTTGCCTGGTATGACTTTTTTCAACAGCACTTGGACAGCCTCAAGCTTTCTACCCACTAACACTCTACCTGGATGTATGTGAATGTGTTTCAAACACCAACATGTTATCTCTTCCTTGTTTAAGTGTGACTCTGTTGGTATAGGCGGAGTTTATCCAGGATAACTTGTTCAGTAATGATTCCTTTTTTTTTTTTTTTTAATCTTTTTGGCCTGGGGTTGAAAGGTGCATGGCTCACATTGGTGAAAATAAGGAAGGCCTGGTTTTATCATTTAGCACTGGCTGCGTTCCATCAGCCACAGAGGTGAGATCTCAACCTACAAAGACCCGCGAGACACTGCGTAGAAATGCAGACAAAAGGAAAAGGCCACATATCACAAGTTCCATTCTATATTCTTTTGTAAATACACATTGTACATTACTTGGATGTTTTCCTAAACCATTTACTGTCTTTATGAGTTAATGTCAGATTTTTACTCTCTCAACTTACTGTGTAACATTGTAAATAACATAATGTCCTTTATTATTTATATTTAAGCATCTAACATAGAGTTGTTTTCATATAAGTTTAAGATAAATGTCAAAAATATATGTTTTGTTTTTTTTCTTTGCTTTAAAATTATGTATCTTTTCCTTTTCCTTTTTTTTTTTTTAAAGAATAATTTATTGTTCGGGAGAAAGAATGTATATGTAATTGAAACTATTTGAAGAATGCACATTTGGAGGCCGTGGGGTACTGATAAACTAAAGAATTTATTATCCAAAATACTAAGCAATAAGTAATTGTGATTTATTTAAAGTTCTGTTCATTTTCCATGAACGACATACTGCAATAAAAATGCTTCTCTGTGGAGACCTGGGAGTGTCGCTCAGCAGACTCCCGGCTCAGTCCGGGAGACCAGCACCTCGTGTGTCCCTGCAGCGGGCGTACTGACATCCGGTTGTTCAGTGGACCCCACGATCGCCTTGTCTGCCTGTTGCTTCTGCTTCACTGTCTGTTCTTGAGTCATCTTCTGCCTGTTGTTTCTGCTCGCCACTGTCTTCCTTGTTGAAGGGGCCACGTCCAAGCAATAGGATGTCCCCCCTAAAAATACCATATGAGAGAGGACATTCTAGGGCACGAAGGCCCGGGTCTTGGTTGTTAACATGTTCCATAGTGATAGCAAGAAACTTCTTCAGACTAATGGAAATGTCAACATGGCAACCTCATGCAATCATGAAAGGAAAACTCGTCATCATGATTCAAATAGTCTGGTGGCCACCGTGGCCTTGAAGCAGCCAGTCAGGACCCAGCCATGCTAAGCTTTCCAATTGCTTCTGTCCATTCATTTTCCATCAGGCTCTTAATGTATCGATCCATGGTTTTAAGAAGAGATGAGGCTAAATTGGCTCATTCCTCTCGTTCTATCAATAAGTTAAACTCAGTGTCCATCTTACTGCTCAGGGAGGGGGGCCTATGCATGAGAAATGTCCCACATCCTAAGACTTAGTCATAGAAATGAGGGTATTACTTTTGTTACTGAAATTAGCCTAAACAAAAGCCATATTTCAACAAATAGATATTTGCATGGGTGGTAGTTTTTATATATTTCAAGCATTTAACTCCCTTTCCCAAATAGCATAAGAGCTTCTGAAGTATATGGAGGAGAAGTCAGTGATCCTTTGGGGTACACAGTGGTCCCTTTGGAAGTTTGAGGGTACTTTGAGGCTTCCACATCACTTCCATATGTGCAATGACTTCTGTTACCCACTGACAGCTCCACTGTGTCCTCTCCAAAGAGTCAAAGAGAAACCTTTGTGCTAGTTTTACTATGTATATTACTAAGTTTTCAAAACTATTCAGAAACCTTATATTTGTGTCAACTGTGACTTACACACACACACACACACACACACTAACCTGAAGCCACCACCTGTTTTCACTTATTCAGTTCAGAAAATCAAGGATTGCACAGAAATTTAAAAGTTAATGATGGTTTTCCTACCTCTTCGAGTTTAATGGAGGCTTTGCCTGTCTCCCTAACTGAAAACCACAAGCAGCTGTCTTAGCAACTGCAGTTAGAACTGGGTCCATACGTGTGAAGTAGATGCATGTGTGGGGGAGGGGGCATGGCAAGAGAGAAGATGCACAGGTACCAAATTAAATATCTGGGTAATTATTACTAATTCTCCGTTCACTTCAACCATGTAGACTCTTGAATGTCAAACACAGACCAGCTCTTCGCACTAGCAAACAATCTGTCTTTCCAATGTAGTGTCTTCCCGACATCATTAGCTCACTTTGCTGTCTGTCCTGGTGATGAATGACAGAAGGACTTGATGTCAAG